ATATATATATATATATTGAATGGTATACCGCTTGGTATACAATATCGTACCGTACCATACCAAGAGAAGATCGAAACTCCGGTACAGTATGATATTTCAATCCTTGCACTCAACTGATCCCATAACGAGTGAGATGTGGAATTGTGCCAATGGAGATGGAAGTAGTGTTCATGATAAGTTAAAAATATTATAAGATGTTACCAATCCATTGGAACTAAGGCTTGACGCGAACATGTGTTGGGGATAGTCTAGATTATTTAATCATTTAAAGTAGTTGAATCGTGTATCTCTGATTTTCTACGTTTCCTTTTGACTATTGCAAAAGTGAGTATTTTATGTTTGGAGTGTGTGTTCAATGGTTAATGTCAATTCTATAAACAAATTCATTTTTAGTGTTTGAAAATTAGTACTGTTATTCAATCTTTGTAGTTTGTACCAATTTTGTCATTAATATATGTACACTCCAACTCTTGTTGTTGACTGCATTGCAGGATCAGTTCCGTGACTATTTACTTTTAGAAGCAGAAAGAAGAGAGCTAAGACCAATAATAGAGAACAAATCACGCCTAATTCTTGCTCATTCGAACTCTGGATATAAGTGAGTTCCTAATTCTGTCAGCTAGCCTATTATTTATTAGAGTTAACAGATGTTTGAATTGTTTACAGCAATTACGTTGATTTCTTGAATTATTTCATGAGTTCTTATTTTTATTCAGGATTAGTTTTCAAGTTTGTGGCATTAGGCTTTTCTGAGAATGTAAGCTAGCTTTTAACCTGGCATGTTAATCTGTTCTTAGTGGAGGCATCATCTTTGCTTTGTAATTGGAGTCATTTAATGCCCATATAAGCAACTTTTCTCAAAATAGCTTGTGCATAATTTTTTTATTACTTTTTTAAGTATCATTTGTATGATAGTTCACTTCGCATGGAAACTTACAAACAATAGACCATATAATTGTCTAACAACTGGTTAAACCTTTACTAAATCGCACATACCGTACCACATATGGTTGTTTCCATTATATTTTTGTTTGATAGGCCTTTAGTGATTCTAAATTTGGAAAGATTGAATGATAAACAGAATTCAGAAACAAGCATGCAACAGAACATGCTAGATGGATTCAATGGGAGCATTATGAACCAGCACTATGCCTGAGTTGAAACAGGAATAGTAGTGACATTCACAGAGCCAGTATGTCCTCCCCTTAGATTGGGCTGCTGGAGCTGGTTTAGGGGTACAATTGGTCTTGAGGCAAGCAATTAATCTCTGCATTTGTGAAGGCCCCACAATGCATGTACTCAACATACTCTGATTGATCAAGGAAAGGAACACTAGGCCGTACAACCCTGTTGACAAACTTGTAGCAAGCAACCATAATCTATTGATGCTGATCAGAAGAACAAGTGAAGGCTTCGCATGTGGTGCATCATGGACCAGCTTGAGATGTAACCTTTCCTTGCAAGCTTAGCAAATAATTTGTCTTTGTCCTTCATTGTCCTCAACACAAATTCAATCTTCAATTATTGCACTCTCCAGCTCTTTCTTCTTCTGTCTCTCTGTTTCTTGGGTATTGATAAACCCATCTAGGGTCTTTGTGCTATTAATCACTAGACATAAGAGCTGTAGTATTGCCAATGAAAAATTGGATAAGAGCTGCTCCTGCATTGTAGTATGTTATTGGTAAGTATTTGGAGTCAAAACTGAGCTGAAGGCTTTTGAGGTTGATACTTTGAGTCTTACAGTGAGTGTAGAGATTGACCATTCACCATCAATGGGCATTGTCCTCATATAGCAACTCATCTTTTTAGAACCGTTGCAGTGCAACATAATGTCCAGGGAAACCTGGGTCACTTGTTGGACGTAGTCCATTTCAGATTTCATATTTAGATCAAATGTCATTTTCATTTGTGTAATTTCAGAGTTGTCAAAATTGAATGATTCTTATCCAAGTGAGAACTAGAAGATTATAGTCGACGTCAATTCAAAATGTAGAGATTGACATTTTAAAGAAGTCAGAGAATTGCAACTTTTTTTTTCAACAATATTTACATCATCATAAGTTGTAGAATTTCTCAGGTAGCAAATTGTCAACATTTAAGTACAATTGCCTTTCAGGATCTGGTATAGCTTTATTCTTAATTCAATTAAATGATGCTGGATAGAATTGTCATCATTTCAATGCTCTAGTGTAACTATTGCTTCCTTCAACTCTTAAATAAACTATTTTGGATATTACTTGGTACCTTTACTTATTTTTTTCACCTTTCTGGAGCAGACACAGTTTGAAGGAGGTGTTGGATGCCCCAACCGTAATGTCTTTGATAAAAGACACAAAAGCTGCGCAGGAGGTAATAATGTGTAGAGAACTAGTACTATTTTTTTTTCACTCTCTCTATTTTCCTGATAAGTGCGCTGTGGTTTTTCAATAAAATTTTCATATTTTTCTTCTTCGAATCTTTTATCGAATTTTTTTAATCTTTCAGGTCCGTGCTTTGAAAGACTTCTTCACTATGCTTTCAAATGTAAGCTTGCCCACTTGACTTATTGCTAGCATGGATATAAATCACTTATTGAAGAATGTCTCTATAGCTACAGGATCAAGGAACAAGGGCTACACAATGGCCTTACAAGGTCTTCAATCATGGAGGGTTTTCCTGTAGATGAACACAATGTTGTCCTTAAAAACTAAGATTTAAAGGAGAAATATTGAGCATCTAACATGATAATTTCTGCTAAATATGTGATTAAAGTGTCTATATTTACATGCAGAGTAATTCTATTTATAATCATGCCTTTGACATCCTGATTATGTGGACAAATATTATGCTAAATTTCTAAGCTCAGTAACATGCTTTCTTAATGCTGCTTGCCCTAAATTATAGTTTGATGTTTGTTTTTGGAAGATTATGAAATAACAAGTATATTCAGGATACGGCACGCGCTTGTTATGGGCCAAAGCATGTTGAGGTTGCACATGAGCGGATGGCCATCCAAACTCTTCTGATCACAGATGGCCTTTTTAGGTAAAATTTATTTTCTTTACTCAGTTTACCATTATCCATTGGGACATTATTTCTTGTTGTTATTGGTATTGTTTATCATTATCAACTATTTGTTGGAGTCAATGTCATGTCGGCAATCTATTGATATAGAATTTTAGTGGTATTGTTTATCATTATCAACTATTTGTTGGAGTCAGTGTCATGTCGACAATCTATCTATATAGAATTTTATTGGTATTGTTTATCATTATCAACTATTCATTGGAGTCAATGTCATGTCGACAATCTATCGATATAGATTTTTTGTACTATGTAAATTATGATGATCTAAAATCTATCACATTACATGCATATGATTATTAAATTTATGAAATAATCATTTGATACTGGGCCTTGTCAACTGTTAAGCTAAATAGTGACTTTTTGACAAGCTAATTAAGCAGATATGTGCAGAGCAAGGCAAGATTATTGTTGGGAAAATATTTAAACTATCATCTTTATTAACCATATTTGATAAAAGAATAATATTGTCTTACCTGAGTAAAGAAGTTAAGTTTTTAAATTACTTGCGTTGTTACTCAGAGACAAGCTTGAAGGTTATCAGGTAATTAGTGACTAATCATTTCATCTAAATTTACTGTATGTCCTATAGATGTCAAAGTTTCAGTGGCTTCATTTGAAGTAGTTAGTGTAGCATCACTTTTTTGTGTCATTGACCTTGTTGTGCCAACTGCCAGCTATATAACTTGTTCTATCATGCTGACCCAATCATATCGATGGCATCAAATAGAAGAAAAAATTATAGAAATATGGAAACAGAAAGGGTAAGGACTGACCTCTTCTCATGAGGGTTTATGCTAGTGGCTGATTCCCAGCTTTTATATTGGTTGGAATTGAGGGAGGTTAGAGATCGAGTCTTGGTTCTGCTTTTGCGCCATGACTTGAGGCAGGAGAGGATTGGCTCAGCTCATGTTTGCAATGAGATGAATTGAGGAAGTTGAGGGGTTCAGGTTTATGTTCAGTATGATATATAACATTAAAAATGTGATATATAACATTAAAAATGCTCTTGAGAACGGGGCTGGCTAAAGTGTTTAGGCATTGGGCCAATATTCAATGTAGTAAATTGTCATATCATATATGTTTATACTCTAGAATAGATCCAACCTAGACCATTGAAGAAGAGATTGCAGGATTTGAATTTGAATCACCTCTGTGGATCGGTCATAAATGAACAATATGTTAGATGGAACAAAACATAATAATCAGGTCCTTGAGTGCTTAGGGAACAGAGGAAATAAATAATCAATGGTGATGAAATATATTTAGTAGGCAATTCGATTTGTTTCCCTCTTATTTGACAGTTATTTGAACTTCTATTTTACGTTACTGTATATTGAGTTTGAGATTGCTCAATGTGTTGTATATTTCTTGCTAAAGGTGCATCTATATAATTTTTTGTTCTCCAGAAATTCTGACATTGCGACGAGGCAAAAGTATGTTAAGTTTGTCGAATCAGTCAAGGATTCAGGTGGCACTGTACATATTTTTTCTTCAATGCATGTATCTGGAGAACGTGAGTAATGATCTTTGTGGATATATGGGCTTTTATTTTTTCTGTGCCATATTTCTTTTCTTTTATAAACAGCATTTCATTACATCATTCATCATTTTTGGGCTCATGCAGAACTGGCACAGTTGACGGGAGTTGCAGCTATACTGCGCTTCCCCTTGCCAGACTTGGAGGACATCGAGATGTGAGAGAGGAGCTCCTCGAGAGCATTTTGTTCCAAGGCCGCTCATGTACCAAGGATGCTTCAATTTCCATCAGCTTTCTGCCATAGATTTGCTATTGAACACAGTGGAATCCAAGGTGTATTATTTATTCACCTGATGTATAGGGATGCTGTATTGCCAATGACTAGCTATATAATGTAATGTTTAATTATACAAGCTTAATCATAACCGTGCGGCTTTCTTGATGCATCATTTGATGGTGATGTTTAAGCTATAAAAAATAGCTGCTTGATCGTGTAAAGAAGAGCTAATCAGTAATTCTTGAGTGTAATTTTTGTTGGACTTTTCAGTTACTTCCATGAATCCTCTCATTGCCTCTCTTGTCACATTCTTTTTTTTTTTTTTTTTTCTTTCTTTCACACGATGATAATATCATCCGGAGTCAAATAAATAAATATTTTTTTTATTATTTTATATAAATTATAAATATTTATTATAATTTATTTATTCATCAAAATAAAATTCAAAAGTAGTCATAAGTTTTAGTAAAAAGCGTAGTGATATCAATTTAAAAATAAAATTCAACTAATTTTATCTGAAGATAGAGGATAGTTTGTTCTTTATTGAAATCTGGTCTAATGTTATTAGAAAATTATTCTAAAATTTAAAAATAAAATAAAAAAATATTTTTAATAATATTGAGTAGGAATTTTTATATATCAATTATAAAACAAATATATGTATAAAAGTTCATCATCTAATTGGTATATATCAAATATTCGAAAGAATAATTTCTTTATTTTACTTTTAACATCTTAAATCTATCTTTGTAGAAATTCATCATATCTGTTCTTTGTAGAAAAATAAAATCATCTTGATCATATTCATATCGAAATAATACATTGAAACATCTTAAATCTATCTTTCAAATAATATCAATTAACCTTAATTGACATGAATGCTAACTCAATCGATCTAATTGAACCCAACTTAATTAAAACTGAATTGAATCAGTTTTTAATCCTTATTGCACAATGAGCCAGACTATATAGCGGGCTAGGTTGGGTTAACCCGTGTACTAGTCACGTACATTGCATATGATTGTACATGTACTATATCAAGTTGGGTTGGACTGAGATAACCTGTGGACTGAGGCTTAGCCTTATTGACTGGGCCTAATTTACAAGCTGTGGCTTTACGGATTGATCTCAGTCCAGATACTAATCAATACCTTCAATTTCGAATTATAACATCATAAAATTATAATCAAAACATATAATCATTAACATTGAGTTATTACATAATAAATAGTAATAAATTATAAAAAATAAAAGAAATAATAATTTTAATCAACTATTATATAAATTTAATAAAAATCAAATATTACAACTAGCATCATACATACATATGGAAGATAAAATTTTAGAAACTCTATATAGCATAAATAATTATAATATATTATAATCTAAAAATAATTTTTTTAAAAAAATTAGAAACTATATATAGCATGAATAATTATAATATATTTTAATTTAAAAATAAAATTTTAGACTTTTTTTAGAAATGATCAAGATAAAAATTTTAGAAACTCTATATAGCATAAATAATTATAATATATTTTAATCTAAAAATATATTTAAAAAAAAATAGAAACTACATTAGCATGAATAAATATACTATATTTTAATCTAAAAATGAAATTTTAAATAGAAAAGATAGGAATACCTATCTCTCATCACCAACATACAACTCATCTCGCCACTTAGTAACTAACAAATGAAAAGAATCCTCCCTTTAAATTAGAGAAAGTGAACCTAAGGTAATAATTTTTTTTTTTAATTTTAGTATTTATTTAATCTTTATTTTTATTTAATTTATGGACAAAAATAACATCATCCGAATACTTATTTCCTAAATTTTATTTGAAATAAAATAATTTATGCTTAATGTTGATCTCATTAAGGAATTGCCGATTTCGTCCTCAAAAAGTTGCTCGTAATCAGCCCAAAAGAAGGGCTTGGGCTTGTAATCAGCCCAAAACAAAGGATTGGGCTTGTAATCAGCCCAAAAGAAGGGATTGGATTTGGCGGCACGTGTACTGTGAGATGGAAACTTTGCGTGGAACGCCGACACGTATATTCTTGAATCTTGCTTTTAGCCCATGTGAAAAATAATTTAATTGCTTCTTTCTCAACTCCATTTGTAAACGAGCCCTCATATAATCAAAACATTTACTATATATATATATATATATATATATATATATATATATATATATATATATATAAGGCGTGATGGGTAATAATATTCTTCGTTGAGGAAGAAGGTTGGAGGGGGAAGGAGGGAATTGGATTCTTGAAGGCGATGCAACCGCCTACCCTGTTGTCTCTCACCATCGACTCCGCCCTCCGCCACATCGCCCACATCGCCGATCTATCCGCCATCCCTGACCCCATCGTCCTCGAGCTCTTCTGGGTAACTCTCCTATCTTTCTTTGCCCCCTCGGCATCGATTTCATCACTAGGGTTTCTTGATCTGGCCGTCCACTACAGTTTCCTGTCTCTCTCTCTCTCTAGATGGATTTAACGATTAGAGTTTCTTGATCATGCCGGCAGTTGGGGGTTCTCGTAGGCGGATTTGTGTTCGACATACGGAGACCCGAAGACGTGAGATTCCGATGGATGTCGATCTGCTTTTCATGTTTGATTTTGTTGATCTATAGGTTGTTGGGCTACTCCTTAACAAAGTAATAGTTTCTTTTTGCGATCTCGAGTTGACGTTGCAGCGATAGTCCACTAGTACGAACTGGGAGCGCGGATCTTGATGCTGTTTGGGTTTCATGGCCATTTCTTGGCATTTTTAGATCGATCTTACCAAGATTTCTGTAATAAGTGGAGATGGACTGAACAACCTGTGCATACTATATTTCCTTCTGAGACCCCTGTGATAACTTGCAAGCTCCTTAGGGGAAGCCTGTCTCTGCTGACCCTTTCTTGACCCTTATTGGTGGGAGCGTCGTCCACTGGGCTGCCTTTAATTTTCTTTTATGATAGATTCCTCCTAATACTGTAGTTTCATTAGTTAGCTTTCTTGTAAAGAGGCTTTTACATAAGAGTGTTGAGGGTGATGGATGGGCACTAATTCAATACGTCAGTGTTTTCAGTTCCTTTATTTATCAAGGGAAAGAAAAAGGATGAGAACAAGAAATGGTTATTATAAAGAAGAACAAAAAATAACACTGTAGTTCTTCAGTTCTTTCTGTGTTGGAATTTTCGAGTTGTGAGCATCATATGATTGTTGGTTACGAAGACATTTAGGAGAGTTCACTAGAGGAGGGGGACCAACATCCAACTTGATCTAAATTGGAAGTTGAGGTGGGAACTAGGAGGAAGAGAAGGAAAAATGAAGATGACAGTGGGGAGAGATAATGATTAAGAAGAGGGTTTAAAAGCTTCGGACTTGATTTCCATGACTCGAGTCATAGATTCCAACACAGTATTTCACAGTTGGTTTGTACCACTGGTAATTGGGTGGCTCAAACCTGTATGTACCTCTGACTCGCAAGTGCAATGTCAATATTAATGTTCATCTTTGAAAACTTCCTTTCCTTAGGTTGATTGGATGTCACTTGATAAAATTATGACACTATCACTCTGACTCGCAGCCATGCAATTTATTGACCGATAACCTTGTAATATCATAGGGTTTTCTTTGTATACTGTTCATGTCCTAGTTCTATGTTTTTATGATTTTATTCAAGTAAAACTAGCATTCCTTAGATTAAAGTTAAAAGACAAAAAGATGAAAGATGCTAAACCAAACTTGTTATTTTGTGCCCACAAGTGCAATGTCATGCACACATCTTTTGTCCTATTACTATTGAATTAGTTTGTTTAATCTTTTAATGCAAACCATTTAGCTCAGATGATTCATCTGACATGACCAATTTTAATTGGACAGAAAACCTTGCAGGCAGGAAAGTTGACAGAGAAGGTGTTGAAGCTATTCATGGCAACTGGCAATGAAGATATTCTATCCTTTGTTCATCGCCTTAATATTAAACCAACCCTTACCCCCGTCCTTCCGACCAGTAAGAATCATGCAATTTACTTTCGGTTTATGCCTGAATTGTAAAAGATAATAAGCATTTCACTTTCATAATTCATATGTCACAGGGTGCTCCGAGAAATTCTAGATCACACAGTGTTCTTTTTTTGCATTTAGATTTTTTCATCGTGTCCTAAAAGAGTTGATGTTCACATGGTGATTGCTGGCGCTTCAACCTAACCTCACTGCTTCTCTGATAATGTAAGGGAGGTTATTCTCGTTTTCTCTTGATCATTATAGAAGATCCCGACATGGATGGCCAAAAAATCTTCACTGCTTTTCTGGTGATAATTATCAAGGTCTTGCTCATTCCTTTTGATGACTATAGAAGACCCTGACAAGGAATGCCTCCAAATCCCAAGGTGCTACACCGGTTCTGACATGGAACAATTGCACTTGTCACTGTAAAGAATTGTCTATCGGCAATTGTCTTTCGGCACAGCACACAGCCAATGTACAGACATCCACCACATAATTCTTGTGCAACACAGTCTATGAGCCATATCTGAAGATTTTCTCTGTGGATATCATTCAGTTGGGGGATATCTGAATGCTTGGTATCCTGCAGAGTGGACTTGAATATTATCGAAAATGGTGCCCCAACTAAGATTGTGACTATGGTGTCCTGCGGCTTGTGGCTTGGGATGCCATGTTGACTGTTTCACAGAGGGTGATGGTGCCAGTTTCATGGCATCAATGTTGCTCAACAGTAAGGTCATGGGGCCTGCATTGTTTCCGGAACTGTGTTTGACAGGCATAGGAAGGAAGCTGGCACAAGACCGCGGAGAATATATGATGGGCATAGCAGCTTAAGGTGATCTTCATTTGGAACTTGAAATGAAGAGTGAGATGCCATAAGGGGGTTGACACATGGAGTGTGGAAGATATAATGGGAAGGGCTGAAGCCAATAAATGAGGTTGTGTGGCTTATTCTAATCAGTGAGGCTCCACAGGATGTCAGTCACAGCATATCTTTTATTGTTATCGCTATGATGGTTTAGCTGCAGAGGTGGTGGAAATGTTGCAAGCTCCGGATCTCAACTGTCAAGGGTCATAAGGTCGATTGGGCACCTTCCTCTCTCCTCTTCTGAGTTATCTGCTGGTCTTTTTACTGCCACAAAATGAATATGGTTGTGTTCTCTAAGAACACTTCAAGTTACTCGAGAATGGATTTATGAAGTAGATTATTGATTTGCATTAGCAACACCCGCATGTCGCTGGAATTCACTGCAAGTCATGAATGGCCAACTGTGCCAAAGCTATTATTGTCCCTTTGGGGGGTTCGCATGCATTGTCCGCTCCACAAGCTTGGTTTATTTTTGGTTCTTGTGTTTACCAGAATGAGGCTGGTACTATATTTTTTTTGGAGTCTCCCACCAATTAAAAGTGCAGGTCGGTGCATATGATGTGTGTGTGTAGTCTTTGTTACATATTGTGGTCAATTGATCATGAATAAGCCAACACAGGTGGTGCAACAACACGGTAGCTATATAGTGTTTTCATGAAATCAGGGTTCGTTTTAATGCTATTTATCATGTTATTTTCTTTTTTAATGTTTCCATGGAATTAGGGCTTTGATGTAATTTATATTGTGAACGGTAAATTTATATTGTGAAAAGAGAGAGAGAGAGAGAGAGCTGTGTCCGTGACATCCTCTTTCGCCCTAAAGCACATCTGCAACCAACCACAAGTGTAACTTGCCAGGTTCCATATTTTGTAAGCCCAATACAAGTGTAAATTTGCGGAGAACAAAACGGTTTAAAACTCCTATCAAGAGTTCCAAAGACAAAGCATTACTACTCTATTGATCAACCACAAGGATTTCTCGAGCAATGGAGTCCTCACCATTTTATGGTGTGAAGTCTCTACTGAAGTTTCATTTTCATTGGGCCAAATTACATGTGCCTGATGCAGGTTGGAGATACGGAGAAGCTAGGGATATCAGAGTCCTTGGAAGTAAAGCAAGCTGTGGTTTTGTCGGCAACTGAGATGATCTCATATTACTTGTGCTCCACGGAAAAGAGAGGATAGAATGTGATCTTCACGCACTTTCTTTAGCTGAGTTTTTAGATCAGTATGCATCGACTGCCATTCCAAGTGGCATTTTTGTTATCTATGTATGTTCTTAGGCTGCATTATCCGATCTGTAATGAGTTAGTAAAGGCAACAATCTTTCTCCAGTTTCCACATTTTGTGACGTTGAGTTTTTACAGATAGGATTAGCAATTGAATTGTTGGAGGTGGACCAGTTAATCTGGAAAAGATCTTTTTTTAGTCTGTTCAGTGACTTGCACTATGAAACTTGAGATTTTGTGACATGCAATTCTTATTGGCTATGAAAAGTTCACGCAGCCGAGACGAGTATGTCACACCTAACAAGCAAAAGTTTCCTTGGATGAACCGTTCGTTCGAGCTGCACCAAATGGACTACTCCAGCTTTTGTGCTATCACGCTTACATTCCACAAATGTGGTCGGTGCATGATTTCTTACTGCTTCTTTTATGAATTCTGCATCATTATTCTGTACATTATCCTCACATTTTTATGGAAATTACTTGACGACTTCGACCTCGGAATGAATGACACCTCCTCTTTCCGTCTTTCTTCAGCTCGCTGCAAGTCAATGAAGCCTTGGTTTGGACAAGTCCTCGACTTGCAGAAAATGGAAACACACACTGATGCTTCTTCTCTTTCCCTTCTTTCTTTTTATTATAGAATCAGTCATGCAGTTTTTATCCACACCGAACACAATTTTTCTGGCTTTCCTCAGCGGTGCATCTTTCTTCTTCATCCGCTTAGATATTTTGTCAGAGAGAGAGACATCAACAAGTTAGAAAGATTGGTATTGTCTAACCTTGACCGGCTTCTCGTTGGTAGATCTTTCTGTGGTTTCTTGGATATTTATCTATAAGAAATTGATGGAAAAGTTGGAAAGGTAGATGTTTGTCTAATTCCTCCTTATCCGAATCCAATTCCACGGTGAAAAGTTATGATGGTGATGCAATATTCCCCATCCCATTCAAATCCATTCGTCATAAAATTTTATCTTATTTTTTTTCTGATCCTAATATTTTTGAAAAAATTATTAAGTCACATCATGAATTTTTGTGATAATGTATTTCTACTTTCTTCCAAATCCACTAATAGAACACATGTAGAATTTATTTTTATAATATTTATTATTTTTATTGAATATTAAAAAATTATATATGTATAGTGATTTTACGAAAAATCTGTATTGTTCGACACCATCATAATAATATTTTAAAGGCGAAGAGGGATATAATGTCTAAAATTTTAGGTTATAGAAAAAGAATAATAGTAGATATATATATATATTCGTCACGTCAACGGTTTATCCAACGGAAAAAAGATCATCTGCCCCGGTTTCCGTGATCGCCTTGGATCGGACGGTCGGCGCTGGTGCAGTGGATATCGCCTCCGACATACCGGAACGTGCCGTTCCCGTGGGCGGTGCTCCCACGTGATCTATTGCCCTTTTTTGTCCTCTTTTGACCACATTTTTTAACTTCTTTTTTTATTTCCTTTTTATTTTTAAGGTAAAGGCTGCCCCCTTCCTTCGCACTTCCACGCGCGCCACCGCCCCTCTTAAAATGGCTACCTTTCGCTCTCTCTCTCTCTCTCTCTCTCTCTCTCTCTCTTCCTTCTCCGCTATATTTATTCCCCTTCCTTGCTCTGTAAAGCGATCGCTGCAGTTTTAGCTTGGCGTTTCTTCTTTTGTGCCTCGGCTGTGTGTCATGAATGCAACGGGTTCAATGGGGCTGGCCGTCGCCGTGAGGCCCTGCTGCCGCCTAATCGCCGCCCAGATCCTCCCGAGATGCCCCCACCGATACGGCCGCCGTATCGCCGCCCTCCCCTTCTTCCTCAGATGCTCCTGCGGCCGCCGCCACTTCTCCCGGTGCCCCTGCGCCCTCCCGCCCCGCCGATCGGCCGCTGCGTGGGTCCGCGCCGCCGTCGCCCCCGCGAGGGACGGGGCCGCGGTCTCCGACCCCCGCCGCCTCTCCACCTCGGTAGGGCCCGTGCCCCGGCCCGGCGGGGACGAGGACTTCGGACGGATCTTCGTCCAGGGCCTCGCGGCCGTGAAGCCCCTCGTGATCGACAGCGTGGAGCAGCCACCTGCGGTGGGGGGGGAGAAGACGAAGAAGGAAGCGGTGGAGGAGGAGGAGGAGGAGGAGGACCGGTCGGAGGTGGCTAAGGGGCGGTTACAGTCGGAGTCGGAGAAGGAGGCGTGGAGGCTGTTGAAGAATGCGGTGGTGACGTACTGTGGGAGCCCTGTGGGGACGTTGGCGGCGATCGATCCCGCGGTGGAGCCACTCAATTACGACCAGGTCTTCATCCGCGACTTTGTGCCCTCGGCCCTCTCCTTCCTCCTCAAGGGGGAGATGGAGATCGTGCGGAATTTCCTCCTTCACACCTTGCATTTGCAGGTAACGCGGATCAAAATCTCATCGTTCTTCTGTTGTCTATTGCCAATTGCTTTGTAGATCTCTTGGTGGAAATCTATTACATTCCAACAAGTTTCTTGGTGATTTCGGATAATAACCAGTTTCATGGCTCTTTACGTCTGGCTTCATCAGAAGCTGCCTCACGAAATATGGAAATGGTTAATGTTGATGTTGGTTCTTAGTTGATTGATTTTGTTTTTTGGCACCTCCAAAACATTTCTCCTTTAGTAACATGCTTTTTTTTTTTTGGCTGCAATCTGTTGATGGAATCTACTGAATTTTGGAGTGTTTTTGGATGTTTACTATTGGATCTGTTGGCGTTGTTTGATGTGCTGGTTTGGTTGATGATGTTCTGACCATAATTTATATGTCCTACCTATCCTTTAGATCTGAGTATCCTTTATTTTCAGCTATCATAAATCTTCTTTGGGTATAATTTCATTAATATTGCTTTAACAAAATTGATCTCAAGTTCACCACTCAGCTCAAAAGAAGAAAAACTTCAAATTTGTCGAGGGTTTCATTATCGTAATGGCCGGGCAATTTAGTGTTTTATTTGGATTTACTTTGTACCTTTTTTACATATTTTTACTAATCAGAAGCATCAGATGTACAAGACAAAAAACAACTGTTGCTGCAATTGTAGATTTTTTTTTTCTGGTCTAAAAAATCGATTCATCCTACCAGAGGTTCTTCTGGTCATTCATGCATTTTGCAGATGCTTTTCCATGAGAATCATGAGCCTTTGTGATAAATATTTTGATTCGTTGTTGGTTTATTTTCCAGACTAAATCAAGTCAATGTTCTTCCAATTTCACATCGATGAAAATTTAATGAAACAAAAGTTATATGACAAAATGATGACAGAAAGATTCTTCTATAGGCTTCTTGAAGCATACAACTTGTGGTTCATTGCCTACACTTTCTTTTTTCTGCATGTTGAACTTAAATAAATATAGGCAATGCTTTCTGATTAAAATTTTAATGCAATGATCTTACATAAATTTGTTACTATCTCTTTCGTCAATTGAATGCTACATGAAGTAATTTTGGTTCTTTCTTTTTTGATGTGCAGAGTTGGGAAAAGACTGTGGATTGCTACAGCCCTGGACAAGGGCTGATGCCGGCAAGCTTCAAGGTTAGAAGTGTTCCTCAGGGAAGCAATGGTGAAGTTGAGGAGTTCTTGGACCCTGATTTTGGTGAATCGGCCATCGGACGTGTTGCTCCAGTAGATTCTGGTGGGCATCTTATTAAGATTTCTGGAGTTGTTTGTTTTCTCATTGAAGTAGTTTTAGGAATGGGTCTAATAGTGATTATTGGTAGGGTGTCTAATTCATGCCTTTCTTTGGCAGGATTATGGTGGATCATCTTGCTAAGAGCTTATGGAAAGATTAGTGGTGACTATGCATTGCAAGAGAGAATCGATGTGCAAACTGGAATCAAACTGATATTGAACTTATGCTTGTCTGATGGGTTTGACATGTTCCCTACACTGCTAGTCACTGATGGCTCTTGCATGATAGATCGAAGAATGGGTATCCATGGGCATCCTCTTGAGATCCAAGTAAGCGGAGTCTGATGCGACATTTTTTCTTTAAGAATAGCTTAGTGCTTACACATTTGTTGCTTAAAGCTGTTATATGCTGTATTATCTGAGCAAGTTGGAGGCTCACTTTCAAGTTGCCTATCAGATTTAGGTTTTTAATCGTTAATTGTCGTATTTGTGGTATCCTAGTTGACATGGGTAGGGTAGCTACACATAGGATGCATTTTATCCTGAATGCTATTCCTGGACTTGCTTTGTAGGTTTGTTTGAGAGGCAAATTTATGTTGTGCTCTTCCTGACACTCGGTATTTTCTTTCTTGTTTTGAATTCCACTATCAAAACCAAGATACTATAACAAACTGGATTTTATTGTTCATTTTTACTTTAATCTCTTAAAGATGCTTGTAAATAGCAAAACAATTAATGTTTAATCCTCCTATGATCACTTGCATGCTAGTATTCAAGTGATTACCATTCTGAATTCTAATTGGGTTTCAAAAATTTGCCTTAGTTTTACTTGTTTGCTGGTCTAGTTGTTCTCTGAGCTGGAGCATTTCTGGACATTCAATGAATCAAATTGTTTGATATGATTACTATTTATTTACATCAGAAAGAGATCTATTGTGTGTTTAACAAGTTACGGTATACAGGCTCTATTCTACTGTGCTCTGCGTTGCTCACGTGAAATGATTGTTGCCAGTGATGGATCAAAAAATGTATTGCGTGCTATCAATAACAGACTGAGTGCATTATCATTCCACATCAGAGAGTACTATTGGGCGGATATGAAGAAGGTCAATGAGATTTATCGTTATAAGACTGAAGAATATTCTCAAGACGCTATTAACAAGTTCAACATCTATCCTGAGCAAATTCCTGGTTGGCTGGTGGACTGGATTCCTGAAAAAGGTGGCTACTTTATTGGGAACCTTCAACCAGCTCACATGGATTTTAGGTTCTTTTCGCTTGGTAATTTATGGGCCATCATTTCGTCTTTAGCCACTCCAAAACAAGCTGAGGGCATTCTTGATCTCATTGAAGACAAATGGGATGAGCTTGTTGGGAATATGCCTTTGAAGATATGTTATCCTGCCTTAGAAAACGAAGAATGGCGCATAACTACTGGAAGTGATCCGAAGAATACGTAAGTATTTACACTCAGCATGGTGTTTTTTAATATTATTAATGTGATATTAGTAGGTGTTTATGTTGAGTCAACTATAGAAGTCCATCCACAATGTGAAGTAAAATTTCCACATCAGCTAAAACTATTTTAGAATTAAGTTATGGTCCTTGCTTTTTTTTGGCAATTTCCCCCCTATCATCTGAGAAATTGAGATGAATTTTTTGTGTTGACCATGATAAATAATATAACCAAAGATAGCATGATATTTTCTTATGTAGTTACTGCTTTCACCTTTTGGCTTTTTCTGTTTGTCAGGCAGCTGTCTCTAATTCCTCGTCTCATGTAATATATAACTAAAGATAGCATGATATTGATAATTGTTTTTGTTGCATTTTCTGTTCTGAGAAATTTCCTATTGAAGTTACGACTGTGGAAGTCAATTCAGTGATTGCTAATTAATAAGCATTTGCACTACCTCGAACCGTGTTTTATAACATGTCATCCCACTCTGAGGTTTGAGCTTAACCTTTTATTTAATTTCTTTTAAACCATGCACCATCTTGGAAAGATGTTGCAATCTTATTTTGTGGAAAGCCATACACTAGCGAACATAATGTTACTCAAACAGGCACATGATGACTTTGAGGGATTTGGATGTATGCTAATAGATCAATTAGCGGCAGTAATCACGTGGGTTTTCTTGCCATGCTTACCTACCTAGGCTACGCCGCTATGGTACTGGATAGTTTGGAAATATGTACTTTTTATCAATGAACGATATTTTGTGATACTTATGGAGAACAATATGAAATATTGGTTAACATATCTAAACCAGACACACATTAAACTGTTTGCATATCTGGATAATCTATATTGTTGAACTCAAGATAAATATGTTACCCTCATGGGAAGATAACCTAAGATATATCTGCAAGTTAGTTGGCTGTGACTTGTCTCTTTTCTATTGGCTAACAAGAACAAAAGAACAGAAAGTTGTAGGTTTCTTTTTGTCAAGTCCCTCTTTGTAACAATAATAACTTGTTTTGCAGGCCTTGGTCATATCATAATGGTGGATCATGGCCTACTCTGTTATGGCAGGTATTATAGCCTTAACACGGAGCACTCTCGGACTCTCTATTCCTTCCAAGCATTTTACTTGACCAAATATTCTGATGTTTCAGTTCACGTTGGCTTGCATCAAAATGGGTCGACCTGAATCTGCCCGAAAGGCAATTGCCATAGCTGAGAACCACCTTTCAAATGACAGGTGGCCTGAATATTATGATACCCCAACTGGAAGATTTATTGGAAAGCAGTCTCGGCTCTATCAGACATGGACAATTGCTGGGTTCCTGGCATCAAAGTTGCTGCTGGAGAATCCAGAGCTGGCTTCCATACTAACATTTGAGGAAGACCTCGAGCTTCTGGAGGGCTGTGCGTGCAGCCTGGCTAAGAGTCCTCGTATCAAATGCTCCCGCCATGCTGCCAAATCACACATCTTCGTATAACTACATCAAGATTTTTTTTTCTTCATTTTTTTAATCACCATACTGTATGTGTAGAAAGAAATAATAAACGGAAGGGATCGTCGTCTGCACTTGGAGAGATTGGAGCCCTTCTTGTTTAGATAAAGACGTCATTTATTTGCCCACTTGTCCCATGGGGTATGCTCATTATTTTTGTTGAGCTAGCACTGATGGTGACAGTGTGGCCTAAAGGTACCCAATGTTGGGCTATGTAACAGGAAGTCAATATGTATATTATTGATGACACATTGATTCACCACTGCTACCTGACATCGAATTAGATGGTGATTAAGATTTGTTTCTAACAGCATAGTGTTGTTTATTGCGTGGTTTCAACTTGAAATTTGTAGTTGTGTGCTTATACCCCTTAACTAATCCTGCAAAGTAGGTTTGTGATTCTTACCATGAAATGATAGAACAGGTTCTGAACTATGAAATCCATTGGAATGATACAGAGAAAATAGCTGAGTTGTGCAGCTCTTTCTGTTGTTTCAGATGATTCTGCATGAACTCGTTGCTGATGCACAACTACTTATTTTCTACTTGAGTATTGTCTACATGTAAAATGGGCATGCAATTAAGTTCAAATATTTTCGGTAAATCCCTGTCTTCTATGTGTATGCCAACTTACCAAGTGGCTCATATGAAGTACATGCAATCCACCCAACTTAAATATCTAGCTTGATTGAACAGCATGAGCTATCCCAAGAAGAAGAGTGCTAAAACAGATGCAGCAACATCAACCAGAAAAAGGACCTATAGCCATGATAAAAGACTTATTTCTCATATATATGTTTGGACTGACATTGTCTTGTTTCAGAGGTAAACCATGAATCCCACTTTATCCCAGCTTGATATTATCAAGCACTTTTGACAAAAGTTTACTGCCCAAAAACATGGCTTCATTCCTCCTACCAGTGAGCAAATCTCACTACGCTCAGTAGGTTTGGCGATTTGCTTACTAGGAGGAGGAATGAGTTCATGATGCCATTTTTGTTCTAAGAGGACAATCAATGACTAAAAGAGGTGATTTTACTATAAAAAAATTATTGAAGGTTATTTTAATTCTTGATAGTGAATTTGCTATGTCATCATTAAGTACATTGTCGGCTAATTATCATTCGTTATGTTATCATCGAGTGATACCTAAAGAAGAAGAAGAAGACGAAGGTCACTATTCCATTCATATATTCACATGAACAAAGATCCAAAACAGTTAATTGTAAGCTTTATTCTTGTCCTTTATGATTAGATATAGAAATTCATTTTTAACACAGAGAAAGAAAGAAATTTTTTTTACTATTCGCATTCGCATAAGTCTCAGAGTTACTAATTTGGATATGAAAGGGATTAGACTTAGAAACTTCTTTTGATCTCGATCTTCATGTAGATGACACATAGAAAGTTTAACGTTTTCAGATAATTTTATATATCGAAATATCAATGATATTTTTTCGGTCATCGTTAAAAGATAAACAGGGATGAGGGAAGCTTAATTCGGTTTAATTTAATTTTATATTAATTCGGGCTGATTTAAAACTATTTGGTTTGGTTAGAAAATTTTATTCTAAAACCGAACCTAAAGCCGAATTGAACCGGGAAGTGGGAACTAAGCCGAACCGCTTTCTCTCACGTGGATCGAAGGCCTACGTGTCACCATTGCGGCCTATTAAGTGCGCCTGTTTCGTATGCGCCTCTTTTAGGGTTCCATCTCGCCTGCCTTCGGAGCGTTCGCGATCGAGATTGCGATCGTCAGCAGTGGCGGAGAGCCCCTCTTGAGTCCCCTCGCAGTCGGAATCGAAGCTTTATTGTGGATTCCCTGGCGAATTAGATGAGCTCGTCAGAATCCCCTTATGGAGTCCTCCCGACCGACATCGTCACACAGATCCTCGCGCGGCTGCCCGTCTATTCCCTCTTCCGATGCAGGTCCGTCTGCAAGCTGTGGAACCGATTGCCCTTTGAGAAGCACTTCGTCGACCTCTACTTCCGGATCGGCCCCAAAGACCCCATCTTGCTGTTGGAATTCCCCGAGTCCAGCGCCTTCCTCTCGGTCGACCGATTTCGGGGGGTCTCGGCCTTCTCCCTGGGATTCTTGAACGATAAGGTCAAGATCAGGGCCTCCTGCAATGGCTTGCTGTGCTGCTCCAGCGTTCGGAATCGTGGCGTTTACTACGTCTGCAATCCGGTCACCCGAGAGTTCCGTGTGCTGCCGAGAGCGAGGGAGAGGCCCCTCACTCGGTGCCAACCGGAGTACGAGGCTACCCTCGTCGGCTTGGCGTTTGATCCCGTCTCTTGGAAGTTTAATGTTGTTCTTGCTGGATTCCATCGTTTTTTTGGTCACCGGCCTCATGGCGAGTTCGTCTCCCTGGTGTTCGATTCGGAAACCAATTCTTGGAGTCGATCGGTTTCGTTGATGCACGACGAGTTCACCCACATGAATCGCTGCCAAGTTGTGTTTTCTTGTGGCTTGCTGCATTGGTTGACGCATAGCTGTTCTTATGTGCTTGCTTTTGATTTGAAAAGTGGAGTTTGGGGGAAAATCTTGCTGCCGGATGAAGTGCTGACGACAAGGTCTGGATCCAGGGTTTATCTTCTGGAGCTGGAAGGATCGGTGTCGGTCGTTCAGATAACTGGGGTTTGGATGAGCATATGGGTTTTAAGAAATCATGACACTGAGCAATGGACTTTGGTTGATAGAGTGCATCTCCGGTGCATCAGTGCGTTTGCTGCGAGCATATTTCCTGTGAGCCAGTCGAGAGATGTCGCCTTCATGGCGACGCAGAAGAAGATTTTGATATACAACTTGAAGGGCAAGGTGTGGAAGGAGGTATATGGTGCAAATGGAACTGTGACATATCCACTGTGGTTTTCATCTTATGGTTTCAGGAGCACACTTTTTCCTTGTCATCTTTAAGGTTTGGAGTATTCTCAAAGTGGTTTACATGAGTTGTAATTTCCTTTTTATTCAACTGTATGTTATGTACATAAAAGAAAGACAAGTCCTAAAAGGTTTGATGTGTATAAATAATTGCTGAATTGTTTGTCTTTGTTATGCATGTTTATCATCTTCCTAACAAATTTTAGCTCTACACGTTCTCCGGATAGTTCATGATGAGATTGGTTTTTCTACCGAATACTCAAATCAACCAACTTGCGAGGTCCATGCAGATTTTATAAATTTAGGATAACCATTATTTTAACAATCTGCTGTCATTTGGTGTTTGTTCATCAAATATTTTCCTGTGTTTCCAAGGATCATCTGACTTATATATATATATGTATATGTATATACATATATGTATATGTATATGTATATATATATATATGTATATATATGTATATGTATATATATATATATGTATATATAATAAGAAATTTTTTTTTTAAGAAATATGCCAACATATTGTTTATTCTTTATTTCTTCATATTGCATTTGTAAGCTCACCTGTGTTAATTATTTGTTTCTCACTCACGTATCTTGTTGTTTTGCCTATCAAGAACATTGGAGAAAATGATTTCGCTTGAATATGATGAATAATTAAAAGGCATTTCTGAGTTGTTTTTAGGTCTTTCCTGGTGCTAGAAGTACATAAGATCCTTATCGTGCATATAAAATTTGCGACTAGCACACAGCAAACTTTTATCTCTATTGTTGCAGTATCAACAAATGTCTCTTTCTTGAATTATTAACAAGTTTGAGCGTCTTTTGTTGTGTAATCAGCGACCAGATTATGCCATGCGTTTGGTCAATATTGAGTTTCTCTTACTAATCAACAAGTGATATGCATGACATATTATTGCCCAGAGATTGTCACACAAGGCATAGTCATCATCCATATGGTATTGCTCTTCGTCATTGATATTTAAGATTCTGTATAGCCATTATATTGACTTCGTCTTTTTCTTACATTGCTTGTGCTTCATAATGTATAAAAAGCTTGTGTTCATCGAAATGGATGTGTGCGGTTATAGGAATAGAATAAGGATTTCATTTGGCATAACTCTAAGAATGGATAAAATGAGCTCGATGTCTAAGATGATATAAATATGTTTGAATGAGACATCTATCTGTTGTTATATTGTGGTTCAATATAACTAAGTATTAGTGGTACAAGAAGTCAGACCTGAAAAGATCTTGTTATAAATTATAAATAAGCATAAAATATTCTTGATTTATTTAAGGATATTGCATTGTATAGAATTCAATAGTAGGAAATCATCCATGTAGCTGACCCCAGTATTTAGGACATTATGACTTGGTAGTATACACTGCTTCTCTTGCATTCACAGATACTCTTACATTACCTTTCTAAGCATAGGTGAACATTTGGGCCCACGTAAATTTCAAACTATAAAGCATTTTGTGTTCAATTTTGCGAATTTTAAGTTCATGCACCCTCGACTTGGGGCCATGCAGATGACTATTTTTAGTTCCATTTCTTAGGGATACAATTTGAATGTTCTGTTTTAAAATCTTTGCCAAGGGAATTTTTGTCTACAGACTGAAAAGATTGTTGAGTACATTTGTAGATAAACATAGGATTTTATATATTATTTTCAACCTTAGTAGTATGTATTAACCTATTAATCTTCTAGCTAGCATAACTTTGGAAGGTTATACAAGCAAACTCGTCCGCTGGAAATTTTGAGAATTCCCAAATCTTCCCTAAACTCAGAATGGTTGGTATGTGGAATCTCCATATATGTTTGTTGTCTTTTAATAATAACACTGATCTTTTTGTACATCAGAATCTTCACATTTTTCTCTAAGATTCTTCCTTCCACTTCTTCTAATTGTGGGTGTTGGTTGAGTGCAAAATTCTTATATGCAGAATTATATCCGAGCTATGATGGAAAAACTTTATTATAAACAAAGCAATTTATCCAGTGGATATGATTCTTGCAAGGTTCATCTTCCTGAGCTATGATTTGTATGATTGTATTGTGTCGTGTGTGCTTTTGACCTGGGTTTTTCGGAAGAAGAATATGTGGGAGGAAAAGACTAGGAAGATTGTGAAGGTGCAAGATGAAAATTAGTGAATTTGTTGAAACTACTACATATAGTTTGCTAAAAGCATTTTTAATAAAGCCTTATGATAAATTTCCTTTGCTTGATTAAATTTAGAATTTTCAGACAACCACCTCGGAATTTAATAGCATTGTATCATTAACACTGCTACTCTTTCCATGTTTGCAGCCCTTTCTTCGTACTTCGATAATTACATAAATTACAGTAATTAATGATGCATGATAAAGATTATCTTTATTGTAGTCAATAATTTTGCTATGGTTATCCACTCAGAAACAGATCCTCATGTTGTTTCAGGGAATAAGGGGTCCGTCCTGCTGATGCGGCTGTGACAGTGGAAGAGTTCTTCGAGTGGTTGCAGAATGCAATGCAGTCCTGCATGTTTGAAGCCAACAGCCAACAGCATAGCAAATGAGAGCCCTTCTCCCAGAATTGGCAGTTGCTTCAAGAACAGCCTCACAAGAAGAAAGGTCCTATGAAACCCTGTAAAAAACATGACCACCTTATCCTATTAGCCATAACAACACTCCTAATCCTGCTTGAACAGATGATTACTTCGACCGGGGTCGCATCATCTGCAGTCACTGATGCTAAACTATGCTAGTGTGGAAATCCAATCCAGCAAGATTTTGACTTTATGCAAGTCTAGTGGTTGAAGATTTATACTTATGTTGTAAGGTACTGTTGAGAATCATTTTCTGGCTGTGCAACAAAGGATGTTAAAGCATCATGAGACACTTTTCAGTGTTAGACAGTATACATGAAGTTGATCTGTGTCAGACTAATGAGTTGGCTTGTTTCTTTTTGAAGTCTGTATTCAGAGCAAGTTGAAATGTATGGTCATTGTAGACTTTGCCTGTGGTGATGATGGAATAAGCAATGAAGTAATAGAGTGCAGTGAGATCAGCTGCAAACAAAGTGTTTTTTGTTGTCAAAGAGCACAGAAATCCATCAAGATGCAAATGTTTTTTTGGTTTTGATTTCATGTACAAATAAATCCAAGCTATAGGTAGGTTTTCACTGAACTTAAATTTAAATACATGAGAAATGTAGCACTCCACTATGCATCAACAAATGCCAAATCATTAGAAGCACACTGTTTGGAATGCTGTCAAATCACTACAACCTTCTTTCGGTACTTATATATTAGTTTCTCGCGTTAAAGAATACTTGCAGCACTTAATTAAGCACCCGAGTAAAGAGAGAGAGAGAGAGAGAGAGAGAGAGAGAGAGAGAGAGTTGTCGGCATTCTCTGTGCATGATGTACATCATCACCGGCCCTTGTCATCTGCATCGACGACGCCTGCGGTGCCTGCGAGCATCAAGTACTTGTCTTTCCGGGTGAGGCTGGTGCAGTGGAAGCCCAGAAGCCGTCCGATCTCGCCTTGCAGATGGTTGGCCATCTGGTAGCTGCTGCAGACCTCACCGGCGATGGAGCCGGTGGGCACCCTCCCCATGAACTCCACCTCGTAGCACGGGAAGGGGTTCATGAGGAAGAACAAGGGGTCCAGGAACTTGAGCTTGTTGGTGCTGGTGCCGTAGAACATGGTGACCGAGGTCTCCGACGCCACCGGCGTGACCTCCCGGCTCACCTCCGTGAACAGTGGGCTGAACCGGAGCAGGTACGGCTCGCGGCACGTTGTCCCCTCGGGGCACACCACGACGAGTTCCCCTTCCTCGAGCAGCTGCTTCATCCTCCTCTTGTCCTCCTCCCTGTTCCTCGTCAGCCGGACGGTCCTGATGGGGGAGATCCACTCGCTGATGCGGCTGACGCTGTAGGTGGTGGCGGTGACGTTGCGGCGGAGGGCGGCGGCGATGACGAGGGGGTCGAGGAGGGTGCGGTGGTTGGTGATGTAGAGCCGGCTGCTCCTTGCCTCCTCCTCCTCCTCCTCCTCCTTGCGGGGGGAAGGAGAGGAGGTGACGACCCGGTTGCGCATGCCAAGGAGGGCGAGCAAAGGGATGGAGAGAACGTAGGGGAGGAGGATGAAGCTGAGGGCGCGGGCGGAGGCGAGGAGGAAGCCGAGGGGAAGCCACACGAACATGCACAGTGCGGCGAGCGGGGTCGGCCTGAAGGCGATTCTGCCGTCGTGGAACACCAGCGGCTTCGGGTACTTGGAGCTTGGCAGCGGATGCCACCTTCTCTTCTCGGCTTCGCTCACCGAGTACACTTCCTGAGACCAAACCCCAAGTCATGAAACGAGCACGTTTGGCTCGAGCCATTTATCTTACTATAAATTGGGTCCTTTTTATCTTATATAATGTGTTGCTGTGGATAGCATAGATTTTGTTGACCGACCTCACAGTGGGAGAAGAGACGTTGCTTGCGAAGAGAATTGGGATAGCTTCCGAATCCAACAGCCCCGCCTTTCCCCACCTTCTCATCTCCGAGCAGCTCCTCCAAAGCCAAGCTTGCCTTCGTCTCCTCCTCCTCCTCCTCCACCATCAACCCGGTGTAGTACCCGCCGAACACCTTCAACTCCCTCCCCAACACCACCTCCACGTCCAAATACCCCTGCAGAAACTCTTCCACCATTACGGTTGGCATGGAGCTGACACACACCCTCCTCCCTCCTCTCCTCACCACCTCAAACCCTTCCAAACCAACCTCCTCCAGGAAGAACTTGGGCAGCACAGCTCTGCCAACCCTAAATTTGTCCTTCCTCAGTCCTAGGAAGCACACCATGACCATGACCCTCAGCCCCACCTCATGGCTCAGGCAAGAGATCAGAGGGCACAGAATCAAGAGAAGCAACCCCCTCAATAGCCCTCCTGCCTCCAGTGCCACCAGCATGAAGTATGGGAAGGTGGAGGATGTCCTGAGGAGCCCTCCCTCCATATCACAAACTATGGTTTTGCCGGACAGCTTTTCCGGCGGAGGATGCTTCTGTGTCCTCCCATAGCTTGCGTAGGAAGTCCTCAGCCTCCTTATCGAGAACTTGTAGATCAAGTAAAGGGACTTCAACAAGGACTTTGAATTCATCCTCTCTCTCTCTCTCTCTCTCTCTCTCTCTCTGGTAGTAGTACTAGTAGTAGTCGTATGGATAAATATATATAAGAGTGAGCGAGAGAGAGAGCGAGAGAGAGAGAGAGATTGGCTGGTGAGGGAAAGTGACAAAAGATGAACACTCCCCGGAAGCAGTCTTCTCAGGGGCTTTGGCCAACGCAGCCTACGGTTGGAGCATAAGTACGCATCCGTCATTAGAGGGTGAAGGTGAACCAGCTCAACCTCTGTGTCGTTTGGCCATGGCCACGGATCCTGGAGGGACAGCAAGAGCACAACCGGTGGCACCACAGAGGCCATACATTCGGTGGATCAATCGACTGCGACGGGGGCATTAACCAGCAGCGCCCGCCAACCAATCCGAAGTCCTTTCAAGCACGCGCAGATTGTGGTTGCTTGCCTCCATCGACAATTCAAGTTCATTCAATTGTCTCGTTCTTCTGTATCGAGCCATCCTCATCGACATGGAGGCCCCATGCAAGCGAATGTGAACCGGGCGGCACCGTCGTTCTTTCGATTCGCATTCCCATTCCCATTCGTTGATGCCAATCTTAGTCGTCAATCTAACGTGTAAAAGATGACCCAACTTGATCAGCCCTGAACTCGAAGAAAAGTATTCTCCCGGCTTTGGATCTCTGACTCGAGCGAGACAATACAGTGGAATTCCCACGAGATTAGAATCGAGAATGCGTCTTATGAAACGCTCCATACAATAGAATAGAATATATTTACCGTAAAGATGATTAGGTTGTTCACATGTCGAATCTCGATTGATTGATTGATGAAAAATACATGTCATATCACCTTCAAGGATTACCACCACATATGAGTTGACAGTCGGATCACATAAAACCGTTACATGCAAAAATATGACTACCTAGAAGAATACGTACACCAAAAAATTAGGATCATTTTCTTCCACATACTACCACACAACTTTCAGCAAAAAAGGAGAAGGAAAACCTATCATTATGGACCAACCAAGACTTAATGTTTGATGCCTCTGTTTCTAAGAGTAGCTCCATTGTTGCAGTAGTCCATCATCAGCTACTGCTGATGGCCTCTGAGCTGATCTCAGAAAACTACAACCATCTGCCATCTTAAAACCCTCTCACATCATTCCGGACGGTAAGACTGACTTTACCCTAATTAATTACAAGGAAAAAGGATAGTCAATGTACTACTGCTCTCATTAATATGATCAACCGCGACTCCACTGCTCATAAATTCGATTGCTTGTTTCTCTCAGGAACATGTTTGGTTCTGTGGTATCTACATGATCACACATCCATCAAAGCCTTGGGGGGGTGTGCACGACAACGAATGGTAGCGTGGCATGCCAAGCATCCTTTTCCAGCAGCGTTCCTTGTCCCCTGAAGTGGGCGACTCTACTCCACAAACAGATGTAGGAGAACATTTGAACCCTACAAATGTAATGCTAAAACGTGTGGGTGTATGAGGTCCTCAGCTTAAAAAACTCATATAATGGAACATGTACATTCGCTAATTTTGACTCTATATATATGTACATGAAAGAGACATGGAGTGGTCAACCATCCAATCAATCAATCTCATTGTCTGACCTTTCTCTTTCATGATTTAGATGTCACAGCGTTTTTGTTATGCATCATTCTCAGACAATTAATCATACACCTATTAGGTTGTCGGATCGATGTAGTATGAAACGATTCCGGGGGATTGCTTGCGTCGTCACCGAGGAGACTTCTAATAGTTGGCGCATTAAGTGGAAAAGGTGCGAAGTTAATGCCTATAACGCCTCACCAGTTCGATCCTCCTAACAATTATCCGTCACGTTCACACAATTTAGTTGTACTTAGGCCTTTGTTTGTATGTTTGTGGTTGGGTAAGTCAATGCTGTAGCTGCATATGTTAGACACGCCAGCACCGAGCGAACACCATCCATCGTGTCATTCAACAGGGAGGTCGGCTCTATAAACGTAGACCACCGGAACACGGTTGGAACCTATAAACCGAATCGGAGGCGAACTGAATCGAAACCGGTCAACGGTTCCACGATTTCGAGTCTCCCAATTCGATTCCAAACCCATTGAAAAAGAAAAAGAAAATTAAAACACAAATAGGTTTCATAGTGTATATTAAAAGAAAATTAAAACCCATTGGGTTTGAATCTTAGCGGAACCATTATATATTATTTTATTAACAGTTTGAATTGAAACCGCTTCAAATCGGAATAGTTACTCTCGAAACCATGATCAGGTCTATATATAAGGATGCAATTCCAACTATGTCATACAACACCTAGCAATAACACAAGGTTACCTACTCAGGAAATGAAATTTCTCAAATATTTCCTACACGTGCAAGGAAAGCAACATTTCATCTATACATTAAATGAGCTAAATCAATAAAAAAAAATTGAAATTTCTCAAATATTTATATTCTATTGACACTCGATTATCACAAGGGATTGATTATATCTCATTCAAGTGGACCAAAAAGTATAAAAGAGATAAAGCAACAAAGGTTAGTTACTACAAAGGGTCCTAACATCATCAATGTCATTTCTTCACCCAGAGAGAACTAACTAGGTTGAACAAAGCATTGAACTTTTAGAACCTCTTCATTCCGAGAAGATCAAGAAGAAATCTACCATTGGACAAGGACCTATTGGTAAACAAAACAAATAGTTAACTTGCGTGTGTTGAGAAACCAATATACCTTCAACTGCATGTAAAGAATATATGATCTGATTTAATAGGCAGGTATCAATCACTTGTATCTGGGTAGCACCATGAATACCCCCAGTCAACGAAATGGCAAACCGAACTGATGTGACCGTCAGAGGTGGGTTCTCAGCAGTAAAGCACTGTATGTGAAGTGCCACGGATATTAAGCCAATTAATGGGTTTGGTTGGGCACAAGTTGGCCCTCCTGCCTGTAGTATCTCAGCAATAGTTCTAACGAAACATGTTGAGTTGCTTTGAAGGAGCCTTCCTTTCTTTCTCAGAAACATGTAAGCAACTACACCTACAAGCACCATTTTTTGCTGTAGATGAGTTGACTGTGTCGCCGCCCTATTGGCTCAATTATCCAATGAAAGGTGGGGTAAACCTATCACTTCATTACATAAATAATGTACAAGAACAAGAAACAAAAAGAAAGAAAAAGGAAAAGACAGGAGGAAAACAAAGAGAAAGAACACTTCAGCATTAAGAAATATGCAAAAGTAACTCTAGTTCGTTGGTAACTTTCAGTTTGGACAGACCAATAGAGTTAAAGAAACCTTTATGATTGTGTCCATTATTGAGTTGTATTGTTCATAATTTTCTCACATTTATGTATATCTCAATGCTATTTTTACACAATGCATCATGATAAAATTTAGCTTATTTATAAAATCTCGAGATTTTTACATTTTCACATTTATGTCACTCAGCAGCGTATTTGTTCATAAATTTTTGCTTATTTGCTAATTTTTTACATTTATGTCACTCAGCAGCCAGTGCTACTAAGGCACTTATGATATATTAAGCTAGAAACCTGTGAAAAATAATCCCCAAAAAACACCATAGGAAAAGGAATGGACTATGCACCTTTGATCTACATGACAAAGTCTGCATAGTGCAACTTAACCACACAAATTTGATTGCCAGCAAAACTAAACCTGACATCAAGGAGGGACAAGCATATGGAGGACTGATTGCTAATTGAATTTGTTGTTCCAACAAATCCTTTCAACTTTACTATGAAGCAGATTTCCAGAGAATAATTGACATATGGCAGAGAATTAGACACTGATCAGTATATCACCTGTATCAGTAGTAGGAAACAAGTATCATCACAACAGAACCATAATTATCAGAACTGGACATAAACATGGTTTCATCCGACTGAAAAAGCTGGGAACCGCATCCTCGGCTAAGAGCCAATCCCGTTCAGATATGGTGTTGTACATGAAACCAAAATATCAGCCCAGTCCAACCAGACCATGTTGGTTCCAAAATGCCACCAGAATAACTAGAACAAATAGTTTTCTTGATTATGAAGAAAAGTAATCTACATTTTTCAAGATTCCCCCTCAGCCAACCAATCTTTTACCTATTAAAGTCAGAGTTTAAATTATTCTACAATTTTTTTGTAAATTAAGCATACAATCTGATCGATTTATCCACCAGTCCGACCAATAACCCTAAGCTTGATGACTACTGCCAGGTCCAGTTCTAGTTATGATGACTACCAATAAGGTGTCATGACTACGTGATGATTAAGTTGGACCAACAATAGCAAATTGCGGTTGGTGGAAGTTGAAAAAATGATGGTTGACCAGAGAGGCCAAATGTATGCTTTGTTGACTAATTTAGCAGTTTAAAGAAAAATATACAACAACAGTTGGTGGAAGCAGCAATTTACAGCCAGAGTATGGCAAGTTTTGCCGGCATGGTTACATTTCTTACAATGATTCTTTTCAGTTCATTGATGATAATTAGGAAAGTGTTGCAGTAATTTGACAATCAAATCCAATTGAATTTATTGATCATGCATAAGATGTGAGGATGGCTAATAAACAGCAGTCAACAATTCTTCTAATTACATAAGCACACACTTGTTTTACCTTTGAAAGTTCTTACCAAGAACAGCCATGATGCCAATTGTTGCTGTCCAGACAAATGCTGCAGAGCTTGACAGACCAGAAGCTACATGGGAGTACTGCAAGTAATATTAACCCACTAGAGCACAGATACAACCATTGAAGACAAAACTATGACACTTCAGATAAAAGTTGACGAGGAATGGCACCTGCAGGAGTAAAACCACCAATAAGGCTGAATGGTAGACCGATATCTGCTAACTTTGACTTAGCAAGTTAATAAATCCCTTTGTACCTGCAAGATATATCTAGTCAAGGAATTGAACCAAGTCCTAAAGTAACATTGACAAAACCGAAGCATCACCTTGTAGTTTTATGAAGATTAAATATCGATGGTGCACAAAAACTGTAGCAAAGATTTGGATTGTGTTCACATGTGATGAAACAAATAATT